AGTGCCTTAGTTAGGGCCAACCAACATTTTCACAAAAAAACCCACGTGCCACATTTTGGAAGTGGTTTAGGTATATCTTTGGCAGAATTTGAAACTCAATATTGAAGCAGGGACGCGAATAATAAAAAAAACTTTCAGCACAAGTATCAGAAGCAATGCACGTAACGTTACAACGACAGCCCAGAAAAGACAAGGCCAATCCTATGATCTATCAGATCCAAAAGTCTTGGCATTACATAAATTGTATCGAATTGAGCGGGTAACACCCACTGCCAAAGGCTATGCAATCCTGAAAAATCCGCGATTTAATAAGGTTCATTTTTTTGGTAACTGCTTCAGCTCTGTCTAGAATTATCAAGATATTCAGGATATGGCTTTCAACTTGCGCGAACGTCACTATCTTGGCATACTTGGTCTACTTCCTCCTGCTGTTATGACTATGGAACAACAAAAATATAGGGAAATGAAAAGAATTCGTGAAGCAAAGGACCCGCTCTTGAAGTAAGTCCTCTTATAGGCCAGTACTTAGGCAAATCAGTTTCTAGCAAAAGTAGCTTTTATCTTTGAGGTACATGTTTCTTGACGACTTGCAAAATCGAAATGAAAAGCTGTTTTTTCAACTTTTGCATGACTACGTAAAGGAACTCATGCCACTTGTTTACACGCCAGTCGTAGGCACAGCTTGCCAAAAGTTCGGACACATTTTTCGACATCCAAAGTATGTTTCAATCAAATAATATTCGAAATAATGTAATGGAAGATTTTAAGAGGCGTTTATATCACAATTAATGACAACAGCATTACCAAGATCTATCGAATACTAAGCAATTGGCCATTTCGTGATATAAGAGTTAGCGAGCCCCCTCATTTTTTTTCGTCAATTTGATAAAATTCAGGCTATCGTTGTCACAGATGGAGAAAGAATCTTAGGCCTTGGTGATCTTGGTGCTTATGGCATGGGTATCCCCATAGGGAAACTTTCCCTATATGTCGCATTAGGAGGAATCAGGCCAAGATGGTGTTTACCGGTGACTTTGGATGTTGGCACAAATAACGAAGTTGGCTCAATTTGACACATTTTCACCAATAAATACCACTCTTTCTTTAGAAACTTCTAAAGGATCCGCTATACACTGGACTACGAAGGAAACGCGTACGAGGGGAGGAATACGATCGCCTTATCGACAATTTCTTGAAAGCTGTAGGAA